TACTTTGGAATTACTCAGAAAATCAGTCATATTTAAATCCTGACAATCTTCAATTATTAATAGACCTAAAAGTATAAAGCAAGAATAAGCTCATTTCTCGATAAAATGTTATGCACAACTTATTTTTCGCCCACTAGATGATTATGAATCATCCATATAGCTTATACTATTATTTATAACTAAATGCCTAATATAGATATTCTTATTTTTTCGTGTTTGAGTAAAGTTTCGAGACTACCAGTAAATCAGTAATATGAGTTGTATTCACCCTATTTCGTTTAAGGTGATGAAGGACTGATAGTAGAATTTTCCCACAATGTTATGAGTAGGGCTGACGTTTCCATTTAATTTCACAGAGCCTTGCTTTCCCAAAAGTTGTTCTCATGCAGGGTGGACTGCAGTTTCGACCTCATCTAGGATGAGAACAACTTTTGGGAAAGCAAGGCAATGAGAAATTCAATGGAAACTTCAGCTCTACTCATATAATTGTGGGAAAATTCTACTACCAGTCCTTCATCACCTTAAACGACACAGGTTGAATACATCCCATATTAAAGACATTCTTATTGTGCATTATTGACATAGTTCTACTTTGCGGATTGTTTACGGGTGGTAAAAAGCCGATGGCAGAACGGGGACTATGAAAGGATGGAAAGGATGATGAAGGATTCACAAAAGAGGATATGCCTACAATTCTGCGAACTAACTCAAAAACTTCTGCCAATATTGAGTAAATTGAATATTTAGATGGTCATGAAGGAGAAATCAACACTTTTGACAAGTCTACCAACGCAACATGAAATAGTAGACAAATTGGATTGTTCAGGAGTTTACTGTATATCATGCGGCGCCTGCGATCAGAAATATATTGACGAAACAGGAAGAAAAGTTAGCACACATATGAAGGAACATCAGAGGCTACGAAGGAAAATAAATACCAAACGATCAGAACTAGCGGAGCACATCGCACAGACTGGACACGAGATCAATTGGAAGGCACAGAAAGAAGAGCTTCATACGGGGACAACACAAGGAAGCCCAAGTTTAGGGAGGCCGTTGACAACCTTGGGGAGAAAAATTTAATGAACAGGAGATTGGAGGAAGGTAGAGTTAGCGATAAATTTGCCTACTGCCTAAGCAAGCTCTGGGAAAACAAAAATGGAGCAAGACCAGCGAAAAGGAGACGTCTGGATCAAGGATCTACCGCTAACAGGAGAAAAAGGGAGAAAAGGGACGATGAAAGTGGGGGAGAGGGGTTTTGGGTAATAAAGCGAAGACGTTGTCAGTGAGTGATGTCCGATTCGAATAAACAACTACAACTTTGGCAGTCAGCGAGCTGTGCAGACGGATAAGGAAACCGTCACGAAAATTTGGTGTTATGGCTAAAATGTACTAGAAATCCACTTGAGATGCCGCATTTGACCAGAGATAGACGTCCACAGTTTGCTCAGATCACGTGGGTCTAATCAAGGAGAGGACCTGTGAAGGGAAGGCCTGCTATCTGCAAGCATGGCAATCAGAGCTTAGTCGCTCTGCTCAGTAAAGCGGCAGTATTGCGTGCTAAAAGGCCCTTGAGAAATAGCGCCTGGAGTGAAATGCACACAGGGACTGGAACCGAGTAAAATCGGCCAGCCTGAAAGATATTGAACGGATCTACGAGACAATGAAGGGATCTGGATTTGAGGCCCGAGTCGGATCTAGAGAGAGGGTAGGGGTAAATAGCAAGTGTGATGCGGCCACTAGATTTGCCACAAAAGGGAACACATTTTGACGAGTGGAATTTTAAACAATGAGAAGTTGTGATCGTGGCAATAGGATAAGAGGGTAAAGCGTAGATAGTTAGGCCAGGATAGAAAGAGGAGTGATAGTGTAACCGTTTTCGGCAGAACGTTTGTCGAGTGATTGGCTTCATTTGTCCCTTTGACGAGTTTGTAGATTGCTGTGGCGAATGGCAAAACTCAGTGATGATGCCGACTATGATGCTGGCGAAACGTTTGAGAATGTACTAAGTCCATTGTTTGATGCTGGGAATCATGGAAACTACTCTGGCAGACGACTTCGGACTAGATGCGTTCTACTAAGTCGCCCTGGCAACAAGAGCAAGTTGCGACAACGAGGTCAACCCACTTTTACATTCTTAATGTTCAGGAGGCTAAATTAAATTGCCAACTAAGGAAATATGCATCTTAATGTAACTCACAGCATGCCACTCAAAATTTGGAAGAGAATATTAATTCTACAATTTTACTTAGTAGTACTTGTGCTCCAAGTATTCGACAATATTTGGAATATTCCAGAAGAATACTTAGGCCCTAAAAGACCTCGGTTTTAACCAGAAAATAAATTAAGAGTTTAATTTATACGATTGATTATATATACAAATAGTGACTATTTCTACAGATGGCCTGTAAATATCGATGAAAACCTCACATAAATAACCTATTATATTTGATAAAATTTCCTGAATTTAAATTTAAGTATTTAGTTTAGATCCTTATAATAAAACGTCACATACGGCTTAGTAAACTTCTTTGGTAGAACAGCCGAAATTTCTAGCTCATCTTTGCTCTGTCAAGAGAGCATAGGAGTAATTGCTTATGAAGTTTAATTCTAACAAAGGGATACTATTTAATACTGGCATACCCCTCATTTCGTTTGAGAAGACGAGTGGAAGGGACTTGTTGATTGGCCTTACCGGTTACTGAAAGAGGGTTGCCCTGGACTTTTGTCTGTTGAATTCTGCGAAGAAGACCTCGTTTCATTGCTATATGACCACGGTGACTCCTTGCTGAGCTTTCGTCCATCATGGTACGGACATCTTTAGAGACAGAAAGCATTATTCACGAAAAATCACCAAACCAAGGAAGCTGGCCAGCTGACATCATACTTACTTTTTATACCTCACTTTGCGATCTTTCTGAGGCATTTGGCTGATTTGGTTGGCTGACTTATGCTTGTCCTACATGCATGTTAGTGGGTCAAAGTAATGCAGGAAGAGGAGCGGGCAGGGTCACACATTTTGTCTATAGAAAAAACTAGTGGTAGCCAAATTGCTTGTAAAGTGAAGTAACTACAAATGAATGATCGTGTAGTACTGGGTCTGGTTGGAGCTTCGTGGATGCGTGTTCATGTGTGTATGCAACAACCACGAGTTGGTTGGCAATTTAATTCCAAAATCAAACTCCATTTTAATCAAGTCTTCTCTTACTTAGTGGCTCTTCCCGTTCCATTTCCTTTTCTCTCTCTCTCTCTCTGATTCTATCCAGCAGCTATTTATTACCTGGTTTCCTACATTCGTTCCTGTTATTTAGGATGAGAACGCCTTTTTTGAAGACGAGGGTATATGTGAAATTAAATGGAAACGTCAACTCTATTCATATCATTGTGGGAAAATTAAACTTCTAGTCCTTCATCACTTTAAAAAAATAGGGCGAACACAACTCATATTTTGACTTATCCATTAACTCCTTTTATAAATGAACTATGAAAATAAGGCGCTTTCTTAATCTTCAGAAAAAATATCCTTTGTATTTCTTCTATTGCAACTCTACATAAACAATTTTATTTGATCTAAAAAAATTTATATAAATTGATTTCGTTTCCTGATCTACCTATAGCATTTAAAACGCTACAAATCTCGGTTCACTTATATTTTAAATTCTTAAAGTACTTTATTTTACTTTCAACTGAATATTAGCGATACAAAAATTTGCCATTTTTTAGTAAACTGCTGAATTTATGCTGTTTTTTTCACGTACAAAGATAATCATCCAAGTTTAACATGAATCTGAACTAAACCTTCCCACTATGGATGTCTTGTTTTTAATTCTTATCCATCCTTCAGACTTTGCGCAGTTTTGGAGCCCCTAACACTTGTCCAAAAGCAATACATGAGATATACGTAAGATTACATTTTCATGGAGATTGTTATTTCTTTTTGTATTGTTTATTTTTGTTTTTTTATTTATGTACTTGCGTACGTTTGTGTATAAACATATTCATTTATTTTACGCTGGGTTCGTGATTATGATATTATATTACATTTAAAATATTTAAACTAAGAGCTATATTATATAACTGTCTAGAAGTATCAATTTTTACCTTATCTCAATATTTAAGCTATTTAATTTTGTCACTTTTCCTAATAAGTTTACACTAGCAATTGGAGTTGCGTTTCATATTGATTATTTCTATAACATGTCTGATTTCATTCTTGTCTCGTCTTTCCTATTAAGTTGGGAAAAATTGAGAACGCATTAAGTAGTTATAAATATTTATTTAAACTTTTTTAAATCTAAATTTACTCACTTTAGGGCTAAAATGTGTTAAATATTAGCTAAGGTAAATTATAATTTACTAATGCACCAAATTATTGGCCATGCTTGTAATCGATCTTCTTTATTTAGTTAAGGTTTTAGAAGCTAAACTCATATTTTATTGGAAGCTAATGATCAGTTAGGGTCTTTCCACACTTCTGAGTGGTGGTCTAATCTGAGGCCAACAATGATCATTCTGAGCCAGCTTACTTGACAGATGATTAAATTTGCCCTTATCACTTACACAGTATACTTCCTACAATTAAATTCCTCACAAATGTGCTTGCTCATTTATGTCAGAATATTATAAATATATCCTCAAACTGAAAATTCCGACTAATGGTGAAATATCTAAACTTTCTGGATTTGTTAGACAGCCATGATTAAATCATCATATATATTATAAATAGTAGGTCTTTGCGGGTTTAGAGATTCCTGTTGATATAATCTTTATTAATGGATTTAGCCTAATTTATGCCTTCCAGCCATCATCATGTTCGCTGGCATCAGATGCACATATTATTTTTGGAATATTCAGCAACAGTAAAGGATCTCTTATTCAAAAACTCATCGTTATTCGACTCTACTTCGGCATCAGCACTAAAATTTATCCAGGCTCCCTTTCCTAAGGAAATAAATTCTCCATTTTCATCTATTTCTTTGCCTGAAAACAACATTCAATCCATGGCTGATTTTGAAGATTGTGTGCCTTTCTTGCGTGAGCTGGTAGAAAGAATTCGCTCTTTGACCATATCTAATAATGGATCCTTCAAAAGCTATTCTAGAGACAATAGCGAAGAAGGACTGACAGCTAAAGAGGCTGTTAATTTAAACGAATTTGAAAAGTACCCTATCAGCGTCCTTCCTCTTCTGCAAATAGCCACTGAGTATGAGATCCTCTCAAGTGATTTGCCAACTACTCTTTTATCATTTTTAAGATCACAGGTTCGTTAAATTTTATCTACATAATTATGCTTATTTATCTTATACGGTTAAATTTGGAGGAGATTTTATTTTTGGCATGTTCATATCGATCATCCTTCTTGCTAAAAAGTTAATTTTTCAGAAGGTCTTCAAATTTTTAATTCACCATTCTGTATGGGAAATATTCATCAGGCTAACTTCTTAACATACCTCATTTAGAATTGTGGCCACAAGATATTTGATTCGGTAATAGAGCAGAGATGAGCATGACCAAGACATAAAAAAAGAGTCAATATTAAAAACAAAAATGTGTTTTCTAAAATATGCCCTTGTGCCTATTCTAAATTCATTTATGTAAAAGCAATTTTTGCAGTATAACATTTTTAGTTACATCTTATTTTAAGGACATCTACCTTAGTATTTATGTTGAAAAGATATATATATATATATTGATTTTATGCTTATTATATTGCAGTCTCCTTGCCTTGTGAGGCTCACTCTTTCAAAAGTCTTTGGTTCCGCGACTGGCATTTTGGTACGAAAGCTGGTAAAGGCTCTGGAACTGGTGAGGAAAACAAGATAATTTTTTTTTTAAATACAAAATATTATGCCTTGTTTTATCCAATTTTCCAAGATTGAATGTCTCCCGATGCTCATATGTCAGCTGGAGAGCTTCCACAATGTTTTCATCACCTGCAATCTGCAGATAAAACCTGAGCTATACCATTGTATGAAGTCCACGAAGCAGAATCTAGGTAGTCTTCAATTTGGTCTGTTACATTTAAAAGTGAATGATCAGTCCAAACAGACGAACAGCCAAGACGAAATTGATTTTACTTCAGTAGAATCCAACAAACAGGACCTGGTCAGCACATACCAAGCCAATGCCCATCTCCTTGCCAGAGTCGGTCAGCTGGAAAAGTGGTTGCAAAGAACTTATTCAAATATTCCATGGTATACTATCCATGCTTCTATTATATCCATTTTGTCAGAAAATAATTCGATTATAATGCTCTCATTTGTAAAAATTATTATCGAATTTACTTTTATACTGTTCTCTTCACTGCTTTTTCATTATTCCTGCTGTAAGTAAAATTTATATACGCTTTATTTTGGCTTCCTATGTCAGTATATTTCAAAAACTGCTTAAATAAAGGCCTTGATTCTGTAAATTATTTTTAACCTCAAGACTGACATACAAAATTTATTAATTTAGGGACATAATATAGCGGATTCCTCTTTCCCAATAACAATCGTGATACATTAAATGAGCCTATTGTGGAAGTGGGTTGACCTCGTCACAATTTGCTCTTGTTGTCAGGACGATTTAGTAGAACGCACCTAGTCCGAAGTCGTCTGCCATAGTAGTTATCCTGATTCCCAGCCTCAGACAGTGGACTAGCTGCGTTCTACTAAGTCGCCCTGACAACAAGACCAAGTTGCGACGACGAGATCATTCCACTTATATAAATCGAAATGAGACTGCGACCATATCAGGGGCCACAACATCTTGGTCTTCATATCTTCAATGAACCAATTGTAGTTCATTTTCATAAGCGAATTTTTTCGCTGCTACTATCCACTCATGCTTTCACATTGCGAAAAAGGTAATCCTGATCTTTAAACTAAACCGTTATCGATACCCTTCCTGGCGTGTTAAGGGCCTAAAGGATCGATTTGTGTGTATTTATTGAGCCTTGTTTATTTATTTAGCAGGCACTAAATGAAATAATCTTGAAATTCATCGTGCAAGTGTTATTACGTGCTTTTAGTAGTCTAATAGAACTGGTAGACACTAATAAATTCGGTCGACTAAAAGCCACTACTTTATTTACACTTTGATTTAATTATGAAATATTGTGATTTGTTGAACTATGCATTTTGAGCTGTATAATATTCCTTATCCTCTTAGGTAAATTTAAACTGCTTGTAATATTTACAGTAAATTGAGGCACATGCTATATTAATACCAGCCCGCCATATGAATTTCTATCGCTTTCTTAAATTAACTCTGCATATGAATACCTAACTTTCATATATTTTAGGTTTGAATATGATATTAACACATATGGATTTGTACAGGATCTTTACCGTTCTTCATACATTATTAAATTAGTGCCTGACGAACAAGAGGATTTTGTGAGTACTTTTCATATTCGAAATAGTTAAATATATATTCACCTTTTAAAGATTAATTTGTGGACATTTCAGCTTCTATCTAAGTATCAAGACCTGTTTCTACTACTTTTACCTCTCATTTATGCTACGTTTAAAACCTATTTTACCACATATCAAACCTTTTCTGCTATTTAGATCCGGAAGTTATTTTGGGAAATTGATCATTTTTGATATTCCGGCCCTTATTTAGTTGTTTAATAAATACTTTTTTAACATAGAAATAGTTACTCTTCTATCATTTTCATATACAATTTAGCCCTAATTATAATGAATTCCTTCTAAGGCTTTTTGGATATCTTATTTGTCATAAAATTGCCGCGTAAAATCGTCTCTGGATTTGTAAATATTTTATCCTGATGTTTGGGTTCTGGCTAAGATTACTGCAGATTTTCTAGAATCTTAAATTAACTTTATTATCCTGTATAAGGGTTTTAAATTGAGCTTTATCTACATAACACTAATAGGCATTAATCATGCTCTTTTAGCTTAATCTATTAAACTAATCGTAATTAATGCATTATTCAAAGATTTATCCAGGCCACTAACCAGGTTTTCATTTCCGTTTTTGTTTACATTGCCTGATTATATGATATTCCGTTTATTTTAAGCGTTCGTCCGCTTCGTCTAAACTTAGTGACGAGGAGCCAAGTCTGTCGATGTTTACAGAAACCTTCAGAATGGATGTTTTTGCCTGGTTGGGCAGCAACGGTGCTCGAGGTGCTAGGAGAAATATATCCGGTCCTATTGAGATGCTGTCCCAAGCAAACTATCCCATGCAGCCTGATTTCGCACACCCTCTTAGATTACACGGACTAGTTCGGATTGCTTGTTCTGATGAGATCATCACTAGGCAGGCCCCTCTAATTTTGTCCCTTCTACTTGAACGACCCTCATCACTCATCCATAACTCTAAACAAGAGCTTACCTGCCTCACCTTGACAAAGAACGAGGTGGTTACCCCACCTCTTGACGGAGTTGAATCTTGCAATTTGGTTACGGTGGAGAATCGGGCGACTAGTAGTAATACAACTGATGAAAATTTGTTCCTAATGGCAGATAACCCATTCTGTCACGTATCTGATATCCATGCTCATGCATTCAACTCAGTCTCTGGAATAGCTGAAAGTAATCTCCTGGATTCATGTACAGAGGCTTTTTGGAGAGGTGAACCTAAAATCACAGTAGATTCTTCAAGGAACAATTTGCACGAGCCTCGACCCACCAGTATTATCATAAGGTAATCACTATAAAGATAAAATTATTTATTTTTTTATTTATATTTTGCACTAGTATCCCTGATGTTTTTACCTTATCCATTTGTTTGAACCATTTAATCTGGTTAACTTTATTTTTTGTATAGAAATTGTTTGACCTTGTTTTCGCAACTTGGTCATTATGGTAGGAAGACTTAGAGGAACGCATCTAGTCCGGAGTACATTGCATGCATAATTATTTCCAGGGTCGGACCGTGGACGTAGTACATTCCCAGACGTTTCGCCGAAATCGTAGTCGGCATTGTCAATGAGTTTTGCCATTCGTAGCACCATACTACAATTCGTAAAAGAGACAAGTGAAGCCGATCTCCTATTCTGCTATGGCCTATTCATATTTCCTATATCCTCCTATCACGCCTTCAATTGCTC